TCTATCAGCAGCAAGTGCTGCACCAAGTTTCCCCCGCCGTCAGAACGAGCGCCTTCTCGCCAAGGAGAGACCTCCCAGACTTAGAACCCTCTCAAGAGTCAAGTCTCGTCCCACGACAGGAAGGAGAGACCAGCTACCCCTGCCTCACCGCGAGCAGTTAGGTCGGGAGGGTCCCAACCTACCAGACCCGCATCACCTCGGCTCTTGGAGTTCAGAGCCCCACTTGTGGAGAACCGATTCGAGGTCCTGGCCGCAGATTCCAGGCAAAACCCCTCTGTCCGTAGTCATCACCAGCAGTCCAAACCGATCCCTACAAAGACTATTCCTGACAACACAGAGGCGAGCAACACCAACGCGGAGCCCACAAGAAAGCAGAGGAGGCGCCGCCGAGCTCGCCGAACTGCCACTCACAACCTGCCCGAGCTCAAGGGCAAGGAAGAGGTAAGCTCGGGCAAAGTGAAAGCCACTCTGCTCCTCTCAGTTCCATCCCCCCTATCTCCAGAACTTCTTGCCCTCTCCATGCCTAAGAACTTTAAACTTCCGCCCCTGGACAAGTATGATGGGTCGTTCGACCCGAATGACCATGTTGACGCCTTCCATTCACAGATGCACCTGTCAAGTGCCAATGAGTCCTGCATGTGCGTGGCTTTCTCCACCACTTTCAAAGGGGTACCGCACATGGTACAAGAACCTCGCGCCTGAATCAATAAGAAGCTGGATGCAGTTCGTGCAAGTCTTCACTTCTCACTTTGTCACCAGCAAGCGGTGCCCGGGAACTCAGGAGAGCCTCCTTGGCATAGTCTAGTAGGAAGGGGAGTCCATCCGGAGTTATATCAAGCGGTTCAACGACGCATGTCTGTAGATACCGCGCCTGGACCCCGTAGTGCGGCTTGCAGTGGCCAAGAGAGGAGTGACACACAAGGAGTTTAAGTGGCACATAGTTGTCAACCAGCCCGCGACTGTAGCCGAGTTCCTTAAGCTCGTGGACAGGTTTATATGGACGGAGGAGGAAATCAACCAGAAAAAAGAAGACGTGCCCGAGAAAAGAAAGAGAGAAGGTGAGCCCTCAAACCAAGTGGACAGCAGGAAGAAAAAAGACTTAGCTCGGGGGGCAAAGCCAGGTCAGCCTTTCCGAGCTCTTGCAGCAGAGCGGACTGACTACACTCCCCTGAACGCGAAGCGGGCTGAGATCCTGATGGCGATCAAAGACGCCCCCGTATGTCAAGTGGTCACCCCGTCTGAGAGGGAACCCCAATGAAAGGAATAAAAATTTGTATTGTAGCTTTCATAAAGACCACGATCATAGTACCAAGAATTGTAAAAACCTCCACGACGAGATAGAGGAGTTCATCCGTCGCGGATACTTGAGAAATTTTGTACAGAATAATAATAATAATAATAATAAAGCAGGTCGGCAAAGGGAGCAGAGTAGGGATGCTCCCGAATCCAGCAGCAGGCAGGCAGAGTAGTCTCGGAGGCAGCCCCCGGAAGAGAGACCAGTTCGGGGGACTATCCATGTAATAGTCGGAGGTTCAATCGTTGCGGGCTGCGCCTCAGGCATCAGCTCGCGAAGCCGCCAGGGAAGAGCAGAATCCCCCGAAGCGGCCAAGGACAGAAGACCCAATCCGCTTCGTAGAGGACGATGCACGTGGGGTCCATGTTATGGGCATGCCAGCCGGAAGCACACTGCGGCGCAGTCATAAGGCAATAGCACGCACAGCGGGCCGCCCAGCCGCACACACCGCCTGGCAGCGTGCAACACGCACCTGTTATGGGCCACCGCCCGGCAGCGCGCACCGCACCACACGGCAGCAGCAGAGGCAGCAACACGTAG